TACGCCAGATTCGCGGCAATATTTGTTAATCAGCTCTTCGATTGCGGACTCATCCAGTTTGACGTCAACATCTCTTAACCCAGAGATTTCTTTCGCTTGTGGAGCGAGGTATCGGTCTGCAATGGCTTTCTTCTCATCCGCGACGTAGCCACTTAGCTCAATCAACTCCATTCGGTCCAGAAGTGGTCGGGGGATGGTGTCGGTCATGTTGGCTGTACAAACAAAAAGAACTTTCGAGAGATCGACGGGGATGTCCATGTAATGATCTAAGAAACTGGAATTCTGTTCCGGGTCGAGAAGTTCGAGGAGTGCTGATGCCGGATCTCCTTGATGGCCACGGCCAATCTTGTCCACCTCATCAATGAGGATCAGAGGGTTTTCGGTCTGGCATTTCTTGAGCGCTTGGATGATCCTTCCCGGCAAAGCGCCAACGTAGGTCCGGCGGTGACCTTTGATCTCGGCGACATCAGTCAGTCCGCCCACGCTGAAGCGATAGTACTGCCGATTAAGCGCCCGAGCAATCGATTTGCCGATCGACGTCTTTCCCACGCCGGGAGGTCCAACAAAACACAAGATCTTGCCTTCTACTGTCCCACGGAGCTTTCCGACAGCAATAAACTCGAGAATCCTGTCTTTGACATCTTTCAAGCCGTAGTGATCTTCGTCGAGGACGGTCATTGCATTTTTGATGCCAAAATTCTCGGCACTTCTCTGACCCCATGGAATCTGAGTAATCCAATCCAGGTAATTCCTCGTCACATTGAATTCAGATGCCGCAGGCTCTAGATGCGCAAGCTTGTTAAGTTCCTCCTCGAAGACCTTTTTTACGGCTTCGGGCATGGCCAGCTTTTGGGCCTTTTCCCGGAATTTCTCCACTAATTTGTCCTTGCCATCAGACTCGATCCCGAGCTCTCTTCGAATACCCTTCATCTGTTCCATGAGCCAGTATTCTCGCTGACGCTTTTGGATCTTGCTCTCGACATCTTTTGAAATCTTAGATTGCAACTGTGCGTTCATCAGCTCCTTCTTGAGGACGACAAGCGCCTTGTGCAGCCTTTGAGCAACATCCATGGTTTGGAGGACGTCCTGCAATTCTCCAATCTCACCAGCCGAAACAGCTGCTGCGAAATCAGCTAGTTTGGCTGGCTCTTCAAGTACATTCCCGGCAGACTGCGAGACACTGAAGTCGGAGATCTGATCTCGAAATAGTTGATTAAGGCTGGCGACTTCTTTAAACACACTCACAATTTCTGATGTCAAAGCCTTGATTTCACCGCTCTTCTTGTCAAAGGGCATTTCCGTCAGATTCTCCACATTGACTAACGAGACCGGGAATTTGCGTAGGAACGCAGTAGGTTCGTAAACACTCAGTTGGGCGGGCTGCTCCTTGCTCGGCTCCTCAAAACTTGCAACAACATCGCCCTTGTTGTCGGTGCCATCTGATTTTGGTTTTCCTTCCTTGGCAGATTGCACTTCAACAACCGAACCCCCCTCCCCTGTCGTTGACGGGGGCATTAATGCAGTCATCCGGATCCTTCGGTGAGGATATAAAACCGCAGTCAGGCTGTGTTCATCCCCATGGACCGGGAACGCACTCGTGATCTGGGCGAAGACACCAACGTCGTGAACGTCATCCATTTTCTCAATAATGTCCTTGTCAGCAGCGTCATCCTTGAAGAGAAACGCTCCCACATAAGGTTGCCCTCTCCTCATCATCTCCGTTATTGCTGCAGCAACGTTGGGGTCTCGGATGGTGATCGCCTTATAGAAGCCTGGGAAAAGAGGCCGTTTTGCGATTGGGATAGCCATGACCTGTGGATACGTTTCTGGAATGGTGGGTTTGGATATCTGTGTGCTCCGCCGCCCACGCCTACTGCCATCACCTCCACTACCAGAGGTTTGCCCAGTTCCTGAGCCAGAGTCGCTGCTGCTCCCCCCTGCAGCCGCGGGTTTGCCATCGCTTGCAGTTTGGGGTATAGGCTGCGGTTCGGCAGGGTTCTTCTTAGATTCAGCAGCATCTTCCGTCCTCGGTGCTTCGTCTAGCTCATTCCCTCCTTTCTTTGGCTTTGATTCAACTTCTTCTTTTTGAGGCGGTGAATCATCTTCCGGCGGCTTGTCTTTCCTGCGAGCAGGATGAGAAGCGAACTGGCGTATTTGTAATCCTTGACGGGCAGCTATGGGCAGGTAATTAGAGGGGCACAGGGAGGCCGCGGAGATCGATAATGGATGTCTCTGTAGAAGCTGTCGCCTGCAGTCTCTACAGATGTGGCGAGGATTGGCCCGGAGTGCAGTCCTCCATGGTAACGTTTGGCCGCGAAGCATGCTCTGGCAGAAGCGGACAGCTGCTGCCCAGGTTCGAATGGCAAGCAACTGCTCCGGGAGAAGAGAATTGGAGAAAACTGGAAGCAGCGAGTCGGATGCAGGCCACTCAGAGAAAAGGAGAAAGGCGGAACGGGAAAGAAGAACAAAAGTTGAAGGCAACGGCGTATTGCGAATACTCTGCTTCGCATGATTTCCTTTGATATCATTGTATCAGTTGCGCTATAAGCGGAAACTTAGCCGAGGCAAAAAGCCGAAAAGTGCCTGGAAGTTTCGAGGCCAGACCATTCACATCAAACTCATCTTCAGCCATCCTGCAACCTCGACGATCTGGCCCGACCGAACGACTCGATGCACATACAAAGGCCGTGCTGATATATCTGTAGACACATTCCCTCCATGAGTGCTGCAGCAGGGCCAGCCGCTTGGGCTGGTACGGCTGCGCTTCCCATGCGGACGATTTTGAGAACGGTTCAATATCCTCGACAACGAAACAACTTTACTCGCAAAGCTCAAACAAGGAGATTCTATGATTCCGCCGCTTCGAAACGACCGCTACTACAACGAACGTATCAAATATCTCCACGAAGCCTGTCAAGCCAAGTACGATCGTTTTCCGCAACCTCGACTATTCAAGCGACCAAGGACCCTTATGCAACTTTGGGCGTTGGAAAGAATGCCACCGCGTCTGAGATTAAAAAGGCATATTACACCCTAGCAAAGAAGTATCACCCGGATACGAACAAAGACCCCAGCGCAAAGGAGAAATTTACGGATGCGCAGTCAGCATATGAGTTACTGAACGATCCTCAGAAAAAGGCCACATACGATCAATATGGTGCTGCGGCCTTTGACCAAGGCTCTGGGTTCCATCCAGGCGCTGGGGGTGAGCATCCATTTGCCGGGGCTGCTGGAGGAAACCCTTTTGCGGGATTTGGTGGGGGTTTTGGTGCGGAGTTCAACTTTGAGGATCTGTTTGGCGCATTCACTGGTGGCCGTCGTGGACGGAGGAGCGGTGGACCTTTCCAGGAAGAAATTCTGGTGGGGGAAAATATCGAAGTCCAGACGAATATATCTTTCATGGATGCCGCCAAAGGTGTTGCTAAGAATATTACCATCACGCCTCTTGTACAGTGCGGCACTTGCAAAGGTGACGGGTTGAAACCAGGTTCTTCAAGACAGCAGTGCAAACGATGTAATGGAACTGGTACGAGGGTGCACGTGATGCAGGCCGGATTTCAGATGGCATCTTCTTGCGACGCTTGTAGTGGGACCGGGGTGGTGATACCAAGAGGATCTGAATGCAATACCTGCGCTGGCAACGGGGTGGTCCGCAAGAGGGAAACTGTCGAGGTCGATATCCCTGGTGGGGTTGAGGATGGAATGCGTCTTCGCGTGGCCGGTGCTGGTGACTACCCGCCAACCGGAATGTCAGCAAACCCCAAAGCCCGAACCCGGCGCGGAGACCTATATGTCTTTATTCGGGTTGCGCCAGATGCCAGGTTCAGCCGCAACGGAGCCGATATTCTCCACACTGCGTCGATACCTCTGACGACTGCGCTGCTCGGAGGGGAGGTAGTTGTGCCGACTCTGGACGGGGAGGTCAAAGTCAGGGTTGCGACAGGGACATCCACGAACGACAGAATCACACTGCCCGGGATGGGTATGAAGAGGCTGGGTGGACGTGGTGCTGGTTCTTCTGGCGACCTGAGGGTGGAATTCAAAGTTCAGATGCCTAAATATTTGACCGCCAACCAGCGGACAATCATTGAGATGCTAGCTGATGAAATGGGTGACAAGGCGGCAAAGAGGATCATGAACTTGGATAAGTACAAGCAGTGAGTGGGCCGGACGATTTAACGGGCAGGGTGCTGACTGATTTCCTCAGAGAATCCGCCAAAGACAACAAGGCATCGAAACCATCAAACAAGGCCGCCGATCACAAGAACGAAGGGTTCCTGAAATCCACCTGGCATCGGCTCACCCATCAGCATGATAATCTGGACCCAGACAAGTCAGGGAAGCAGAATGAAGCAGAAGCGCACGAGGAGGATGAGCCAAAGAAGGCATCCGGGTCTGGTTGATTTGCTGTGCATTAAGCATTGAATTCCACAGACCCAATCTCCTGCTTTTTACGACTCATAGCGACGGCGATAGATGTTGGCCTCCAGCGGATTCTCAAAGAGTGTACAGTATCCCATATATGTGTATACAGGCGATGTGTGATCAATGGCCCAGAACTCCTGTCTCGTGTAGAAATACTAGTACTGTGTGAAAAGCAAGCCAACGAGTACAGTATAGCATGTAGCAATGAACTGGAAATGAAGCAGGCCTTCCAATCCACTCCAGGTCGGCGGGGACGTTGGTTGAGGGTGAAGGTGTAGTCCCATTATCAGGAATAGAAGGCTGCCTACCAATGTGTAACAAAGTACATGTATGGAGCACTGCCGAGTGGATCTCCGCTCGCTACCCAGTGCGGGACGCAGGTCGCTTTCATCCAGCCTGTCCTGCCGGTGTCGTGTCTATCTTAGAGTCGCCTCGCACGGCCATCGAACCTCGACCCTTTAAGACCAACTTCTCTTATGTTGACTGTATTTACCAAATGCTTTAATTATTCCCTTTCGATTTCCTGATTACCGCCGTCGCTTTTACCGAATCCACATTCCTCTATCACCGTCAAGATGGTGCAAGCGCCGATGATATCCTGTCCGCTGAAGACAACATCAGAGGTCAGCTGGATCGAACCACTCTCTCAATATATACGCACGAGCTATGGAGACGACCCGAGCAAATATGTTGAAGAGATTGGAACTCTGAACAGATTACGGCAAGACATGAGAGGGGCCGGCGCCGACTCGGCATCTGGAAGGGACTTGCTTTATAGATACTATGGGCAACTCGAACTTCTGGACCTCCGGTTCCCCATCGACGAGGCACACATCAAGATCTCTTTTCAGTGGTTTGACGCTTTCACGCGCGCCTCCACATCGCAGTACTCGCTGGCCTTCGAGAAGGCCTCTGTCATATTCAACATAGCCGCTGTTTTGTCCTGCCATGCGGCCGCCCAGAATCGTTCAGAGGACAAGGACCTCAAGACAGCGTATCACTCCTTCCAAGCATCTGCGGGCATGTTTACTTACATCAACGAAAATTTCCTCCATGCGCCTTCCACTGATTTGAATCGGGAGACCATTAAAACCCTCATCAATATTGTTTTAGGCCAAGCGCAGGAGGTGTTCATGGAAAAACAGGTTCGGGACGGAAAGAAGCCAGCACTACTGGCCAAACTCGCTGCGCAAGCGCAGTTCCTCTACAGCCAGGCAAAAGAGGGCCTCGAATCCGACCATGCGCGAGGGGTGTTCGAGTCTTCCTGGTTGAAGCTGGTTCAGATCAAAGCACTACACTTTTCTTCGCTAGCAGAGTACTATCAGGCATTAGCTGAGGAGGAGACCAATCAGCAAGGACCTGCGGTCGCGCGATTACAGCTGGCGGAGAAGTCAAGCAAGCAGGCCTACTCACTTGCAAAGGCCTTTCCATCATCGCCGTCCTCTGCTTCAAATCTCGGGTCCGACACCGCCCCAACCATACAGTCAATTACCCGAAGGCAGATGGAGAGTGTACAAGAGAAGTTGGCATCTTCAGTCAAAGACAACGACTTCATATATCATCAGACGGTGCCGGCAGAAGCGTCTTTGTCCCCTGTGACAAAAGTTCCAGCGGCCAAAGCCATCCCCCTCTCCGAGTTATATCAGGGACAAGATATTCAAAGGATCATCGGGCCGGACATTTTCCAGAAAATCGTACCCATGTCAGTCACAGAATCGGCCAGCATGTACGACGAAGAGAAGGCGAAATTGATCCGATCCGAAGCGGAGAAAGTTGAACAAGCAAATGGAGAGATGGCAGCGAGTCTCGATTACCTCAAGCTTCCCAATAGTCTCAATGTTTTGAAAGGCGGACTGGAACAGGAAATGGGCGTAGATAGGGAGTTTGAACAATGGTGTCAAGAACTGGCGAACCACCAGCCTTTTACCGCGGCCTTTGAACAGCTCCAAAAAGACAAGCTGACCGTTTTGGAAAGTTTGGCTAAGAGCACCAAACAACTTGACATGGAGGAGAGTGTCTGCGAAAAGATGAGATCCAAGTACGGAGCAGATTGGACTCAACAACCGAGTTCCAGGTTGACGTCAACGTTGAGAGCCGATATTAAGAGCTATCGCGACACAGTGGACGAGGCTGGCAACAGTGACGCGCAGCTGTTTTCGACAGCTCGGCAGTACGAAAGTGATTTTGAAGAGATGCGGAATGCAGCTGAACAAGGCGAGGCAGATGTTCTCTATCAACAAGCATTAATCAAGGCTGGGTCTGGAGCGAAGAACAGAAGCAGAGACGCAGATGAAGGCACTCTCCTGGATGAAGATTATGGGGAGGGCGGCTTGTCAGTTGCAGACCAGATCGCCAAAGTCGAAGATCTTCTGAGGAAACTCAATCTCGTGAAACGCGAGCGAATGCAAGTTCTGAAAGATCTGAAGGAGAAAGTTCACACTGACGATATATCAAATGTGCTCATCCTGAACAAGAAGGCTATTGCAACCCAAGAAAATCAGTTGTTCCAGGCTGAGCTCGAGAAATTCCGGTCTCACCAGAATCGGCTCACCTCGACCGTCCACAAGCAATCTTCGTTACTGAAAGAATTGACGAAGACATATGGCGATTTGCTGCAAGACAAACGAGTTCGTTCAGACCAGCAGAGGTACGACGCCGTGCAGAAGAGCAAGAACAATGTCATGAACAAATATCGGAGAATATTCAACGCGCACGAGGATCTGATACAGGGGCTTATACGTGCACAAGGCTTCTATAGTGAAATGAAGGAAAGCGTTGACAGTCTGGAGAAGAACGTTGATTCCTTTGTGAGCAACCGGAGAGCAGAGGGAGCGCAACTACTTCACCAGATTGAGCAGACCAAAAACAGTTCGGCCGATGGCCAAGCTGCTGCCGAGCAAAGACGAATGCAGGAATTGATGAATCGCTTGTCCATGGAACCCAAGTCAGCGTCACCAAAATCAGAGCCTCCAGCTCTGCCTCCTCTACCGCCGATTAACCCATCAAGATCGCCCGCACCTCTTTCGCCAACACACCCCACTACAAACGCCGACCCACGCTTTACGATTCCTCCCCGTCATTCGCCCGCGCCAGTTATACCCAACGGATATTCTAATCAATTTCAGCCTCCTCCGCAGCCAACACACCCGTCGCCCATTGATTCCCAGCATGCCTTTGCTCAAGGAGCAGCAGCGCCTCTCTCTTCTGGATATAATCCCATGGCGTACCCTGAAAGGTCCGTCGCATCGCCGAATCAACAGCCAGCTTCTTATGGCTTCTCGCCCATCACCTCGCCTCCTCCCGGTTCAGTGAATACATACTTTCCACAAGCCGGTCAAGCTCATCAGCCATTGACGTTCGCTTCCCCAAGCCACCAGTATCCGCAATACCCCTTCCCTCCTCCTCAACCCGGCGCGCCTCTGCCAAATGGCTCCTTTCAAAACCCATCGCCACACCCACAAATACCCCAGTCGCAACCACCCTACCAGCAACATCAGCCTTATCAGCCGTCTCCATCTCCATACAACATGCCTCAGAATTACGTGCCTCCGCCCCCGCCACCGGGCCCGCCTGGTGGAGGCTCAACAACACAGTACCCTCCGAACCCGTCCGGGGTCTGGGCGAGCGGACCAGGCGGCTATGCGAACTATACGCATGGCATCAGATATGGGCAGCAACCTCAGCAGCAAAGCCAAACTCAGACTCAGGGGCCGACACAGCAGGGGCAACTTGCTAGTGGTGGAGCCACAGCAGGACAGGATCAGGATCCTTGGGCAGGATTGAATGCATGGAAGTAGATGGCCTGCTATTGGATTTTTTAGACCTCGCATAATGAAGGCAATAATTACGGTCGCCGCAAGTAACATGTGAGGTATTGGATCATGAGCTTGACGAGACTATGGGAGTTAACCGACGCGCAGGATCTGGGCTCTGCGGAGGGCTATTTGCAAGGGATGTCGCACGCATGTGGCATGAACAACTTGTAACTCTTTCTACCACATGAAGCGCGCCTAGACGATGGTATTTCGTATTCCTTCAGATTTTATCCCTGCACTCAGGCTATGTAGAGTCGCCCTCGCTTGAGCAGGCCAGTCTTGTAGAAAGTTGTCGCTGGGCTGCTTTCCTAGCATTTCAGTGCCCTCACAGGGTGCGTTTGTTGGAGAAGGGGCTTTCCTTCACAACCTCATGCACGGGCATTGTCTTTTCTTTAACTCCAAAGGCTCGCTGTCGCGATAAGCATCTGATATACGGAGGTACATTACGCTAGGATCGAGAGGCAACCACTTTGTATGCAAACCAACCCTAACCGCCTGCCGCTCAAATCAGGTAAGAGATGGAGTGACCGCGGTCGACAGTGTGTTTAAACGTGTCTGGGGACGCACGCAGAGTGGACGTCAATGTGGTAGAGGATGGAGGCTCTTGTAAAGGGGAATAGAGTTGACTAGGAGTGGGCGAGGGAAAGTTCAGTCTGCTGGAAAGCCGTACGCGAGAGAGATGCGGCACGATTGTCATCACAGGAGTCGGTTGGTTCTAGAGCATGAGATCTCTGGAGAAAGGATAAAGAGATAGTTGTCCGCCCCTACATTCTTGTGAAAGAACTGTACCTGTGTCGATCGTGGCGGAGCCAAGGGGTAGCGGTGGCAATACCTGAAATGACGACCCATCTGTGACTCCGATCACCCTAAAACACGGATTTCCATCGTGCTGGTAAGACCCCCATTTCCCCCGGCTCGCCCACAACCGGATGTCAAGTCAGAGACGGGTGAGCCAGTATCAAAGAGGAGTCCCTCCGTATACGAGTTCGCAAGTTCAATCCAAGAAGTGAAATTTCGGGTGGGAGACCAGGTTTTCGAAATTTGACTCAATGTCGACATTGTCTCCGTCGAGACGGGCAGGGATACAGCGTCTGTGTATGTAATAGTTTTCATGGGTGAGAGGCGGAGCCGCGTGAATCATGGGCTTTGGGGCCTCACTGTTGCCTTTTCGGCTGGAGAGTCTCGCTCGCAGGCGTAAGTCCAAGGGTGTTCAATGTCCGGATAATGTCTCCGGTGCGTGTCCGGATGCAGGCAAAGTCCCACCATGTTCCCGAGCATTGCTCGCTTGAAGGGATATAAGAAACCAGTGATGACCTCGTGTGCGGTCGGATGTGCATTCGGAAGGGCGAGCAGTGCATGTGTTTTGGTTTGCTTCACCGACATGGTTATTGCATCCAGCGGCTTCTGGTTCGTCGCGCCTGCGAAGCCATGGCGCAAGTTTAGAAAACCATCAATTCCCAACATTTCAAGGTTGTATCCGTATGTCGAGAAACTTCGTCGCAACAATGGAATGGAGCTTTGGGTCTCGAGCTGAACTCGGCAGGCGGCCCACATGGAGCAAACTACTCCCACTAGGGCAGGCGGAAGCAGTTCCTCATTTGAAAACCTGGGGAAGAATATTACTACCCCTTAGCCTATCCCCAAAGAAGCGCATGCTAGACGAACAATGTCATGTTGACTGAGTCGGGGTGTGTGTCGAAGTTCTTGCTGCATTGAAGCTTTCAACCTTCCACACCCTATCTACATTTTCAAGCGAATTGGTTGATTTCTAGCATGACGACAGGCGACTGGGACAGGAAGAAGCGGGTTTCTTAAGCCTCTATGCCTGCAAGGGCTATTGGCTCCTCCCCACAAGACCTAAGTAGGTAGTTAGCGACTTAGGTAGGTCCGGTGCTCTTGGGGTATAGTCCATATATGAAGACAATTGCGTGCCGGGTTGTGAGTTGTTGATCCGTGTGGAGAATGTGTGTCTGTCCAGCGCACGGCGTCTGTACGCTTGACCTCCAGAAACCCGTGAATGCTGGCTTATCCCTGAGCACCCTTCAACAGTTCGAGTTGAAAAAATGCGTATGTAGAGGATGTTACGTGAAATCAGAAGGAGAGTGACCACCGCATTTTAGCCTCGTGCGGAACCGACTTGATCACCGCATCCTTCGCGCGTTCAAGAGCTCCGCCGACGCACGCCGATTCGGGGGTGACTGACAACTGGCGTCAGTTTGATGACACCTCGCGACTGTCCAACAGTGACAGCCTTCGGGCGAATGGGAAGTCTAAGAAAAGGGTTGCGGAATGGGCATCTATGTAGATGAGAAGCAAGCGTCGTCCACAGTATCACGGGGCTGTTAGCAAATGTTTCCTGGTTGCCTCCACACCATGCCTGTCATGAGGACTTGGCTGTCACGCTCATAGGTGATGGATGCGCTCGGGGGTTTTCAGCTGGAGGCGACGGTCATCATTGGTCTGGCTTTTGTTGACCGCCTTGGTCTTCCCATGCACGCAAACCATGGCAACATCACAACAGAGAGGAAGACAGCAAGGAATGTGCCTGTCTCAATGGGTGGGGGACTGCCGATCTCGCCTCTCACCATCAACTTCTGAGTTGCCAGAAGCCTGACAGGCCATGGGAAAAGCAACATGAATCCAGAGCCCTCGTATTGTTCGTCTCTTTTCAAAATCACAAACACGAGGCCTTGAGGAACATGTGGCAGGCTGAGCGCAGTAGCAAAAAAGAAACTTTGACATAGCTCGTCGGCGTCGAAGTCTCGCTCACCCCATCAGTAGGAGGCGTACTTCGGATGATCAGCATTCCCTTTGCAGCCGTCCACTGATGAACATGGGGAAGTGTTGGCTTTCACGAGACAGGATAAGAGCCCAGGCAGCTGGCCCAAGACTTGTCAATCTCAAAGCCCTCCACGGTCTCAAATATATGTTATAACATGTGCTCAAGTGGCGTCCAAGGCCCTGCTGCCGACAAGCATGTGGGTACGCGTACAGGAAGAAGCTGTCGTTGGCATGTGCGATCTGCAAGGTTTGGAGACACAGTTGGTTCAATGAGGCGTTTCTTAAGATAAGGATGAAGCCCGAGCGAGGGATGGATGGTTGACTTTGCCCAGTTGAAATCGTAATCATCGCACAGGATTGTGTTTCTCCCGACGGCGCGGTCGGCTCGCTTTGGACTTCCCCACGAAATAGGTAGAGGAAGGGGACCGGAACTCGGGTGCCAATTCCCCCCTCTCGCCCCCTAAACAAAGCGTACATACCTAGGTAAATACTTACTTATAATCTGCCTTTTAAAACCCCTATGCTTGGAAGTTTACAGAGGACTGTCTTGTGGTGGCGGTGGGGCTGTCACCCATGGAGCTTGCATTGTGCAGCAATACGGATGCCGCATTCTCCGCCTATTTGCGGGCGATCGGTGCATTAAGTTAGATTTGTGTGGGGAGAAAGCAAAAGATGCGGAATTTACGGGAAATGGGGAATGAAATCCGTCCCAAAAAAAAAAAGCGCCGCGACCGCCTTGTCCAGTTTATCGCTTTGAAAGTCGACGTGTTCCACATTCCGAAACAATTTCCGGGTCTGCCAGGTCTTTTGGGCAAGACGAGGCCTTTCGCTAGCGTCGGCGAAACAAGAGGGATAAGAGATTCATCTGCGCCTCCAGGGAGAGGGGGTTTGGCGCTGAGACATGTCAGAAGTGTTGAGACGTGCCGACCACTTACGTCTTGTCTCGGAGACTTCAGAAAACTTGACCGTCGTGAGACGTGTGTGGATGAATTCCGAATGCAACGCCGGCCGGCTAATAACACCAAGTGACTTTAGGAGAGACGAGTACTCGTATGTCCTTGGTAGTTGGAGATTTGTCGTGCCCTAGTTGCATACATACTTAGGTCACCACAAGTCAAGATACAGAACTCGGCCAGAGCAGTAATAAGACTTGCTCAGGCCATATTCCGATCTCGGTTATAAAGATCCAATACCTAGGGTGACCCAAAAGCCCTGTGTCTGACACATTCTCCACAATTGCGGCCATCAGTGATCACATCTCGATCAAAACTGCCGGTCTGGTCCAAAGGAAAATCGCCCGGGAGTAGCAGTATACCCTCGGCTCATGCCTGCATCAGCACGGCATGGATGCCTGGAAATATTGAGTTTCTTAATCATTTGTCCTTGGTCCATCAGTCCGTTGACTTGCGTGATCCTCGGGTTCTGTCACTCGGGAAGGTGATCTGCTAGGTAGTCGGAACCGGCAACGGCAAATGGGTTCCCGCGCTCAGCCAAGGTACAGTAACAAGGAGGTATTTCTCGCCGTGTGAAGACGCGATTGGGGGTCGTGGCTAGATCGCACTCTGGGGACGCTCCCTCCGCATCCTTTTCAAGTGAGAGCGACACAGGCTGGGGACTCCACGATTTGCCCCCCCCCCCCCCCCCCCCCCCCCCCCCCCCCCCCCGGGCTTTGAGACGTTTGTCCGGGGCAGAAATCGAGCAAAAGGATCAGGTTCTTCCAGAGTAGACCGAGTCGCGAAAACCTCGTGCTTTCCTTCTCCCACAGCATATTCTCCAAATCTCTAGGCAGGCATTTGGCCCGTCACTCGTCCCTTCAGCTGGTCTGGTCACGATGCATCAGCGCTGCATAGTGTGGGGGGGATGGTCTTACACAAGCTATTGCGGCGACAATGGAGGGCGTCCCCGAGGCAACAGGACTCTGCGAAGTACTGAGTACGTAGTTGTTGAGTAGCACTCACTTGTCATTCTCGGTTATTCTCCCCTCCCATCAGCCAGATGTGTGAAGGTTCGGCATCGCCCAACGCCGTGTCGTTGTTGGACAGTGCAAGTCTGGAGATTGGACTGCCTACAGGAGGAAGACAAAGTGTTACTCCGTGATTCTCTTGTCGCCCCCAACATGTTGTCAGGCTCCTTCTCCGAACCGAGTCCGGAGGTTGGATTCACTGCTTGCCATTTTGAAAGCAACAAGACGCTAGGCTGCACCGTGACTCAGCTGTCCAGATTGCGGACGACGCGGAGAGTAGTTTGTGGGGTTCAGGCTTTGTTCTGAAGGTTGCAAACACAGGAAAAGCTAGGATGCCTCGAGCAGAATCAAATGATTAGCTGAATGCATTATCAGATTTGGTGAGTCCATGACCCGAGACAAAACTCTTGGCCGGCCATGGCGGGCTTTGGACTTGTTCGCAGGGACAGTCCGGTCAAAGCAAACAAACCACAGGAAACGATCACCACACGACTAGAGGTGTTAAGGACTCGTAAGGTTGAATTGGCTATCTCAAAATTACACATGTAAACAGGGGATTGGCTGCTCAAAACTCTAGGAGCACACATTTGCCAGGTTCGATACCATCATACCATACAGCCGGTCACCAATAAACACCACTCTATTTGGCGCGATCATGCGGCGCATTCCACCTTGTTGTCCCTATCCGTCTATAACCTGCTCCTCGCTGTGACATCGTTCTCCAATTCATCCCAGCATCCCATGAATTGGGGCTTCATCCCGTGTAGATAGAGAGTCACTTCCAGACGCCAAAAAGCAAAACAAAACCTAGTCAAGAAAAGAGGAGTGTATTGCTCATCCAAACAATACGACACTTGTCGTCAGGTGGACCACGGCGGACTCTGTAGAAGGCCTTTGTTATCCTGATCCAGTCATCTTGCAAAATCGCCATTGATTGAGGCAGCCGTGCTAGATTCTCCTGAACTTAATCCGCCCGGTAGATGCAACATCTCGGAGACTCCAATCTTGGGAAGTTGGGGGACGGGCAGTTTCCGTTGCGCTCCGGTGACAATGTCTGCTATCGAAGGGCCCGAGTGCTGTGGCGGCGGAATGTGAGAGTAAGATCCATCAGCTTGGGGCTCCATTGGAGCCAGGAGAGGAGTATGCCCAAGCGAGAGATGACGGAGACCTGGAAGCTGTAGGTCACTGCCGTGAGGTCGAAGACGTGGAGAGTGTCCTGGGGTAGCAAGCGGCGTATGGTCAGGAGTGGGCGATATCGACTCGTGAGAGAAGGTCGGAGACGAGGGAGCTGTTGAATGTGGCGAATTTGGCCTGGATCTCTTCACTCGGTGATCGTCATCATGGTTTTCTTGGGAATGAGATCTCGACATGGAGTGTGAGATGGCGTAGGCTGAGAGTGATGGCAATCGTCCATTGGTGTTGTGGGAGCGATGACTGAACAAGTGGTGTTGGTGTTGGTAGGGGACTCTAGTAACGTGGTCGTCTCGCTCGACTTGAGACGCGGCGGTCGCAAGGAGATTGATGTCCATCGAGTTTCTGTCGTCGGGGCGGTTAAACAGTCCAAGCTGAGACGGCATCTGAGGGCCCCCGTGGGAGACCTGGACCGCAAAAGAATGAGGTGGTGAGACGTTGGGGGAGCCGACGGCTGAAGTAGGGGCTGAGCGGGGCAAATGGCTCTTGCTGGGCGGCGGCATCATCTGAGCTTGCGAAGCAAAGGCCTGATGGTTCGAGCCATCCTGAAGACCGGCGAGAGCGGCGGCGGCAGCAACTTGATGAGTCTTTTGGTTTCTTCGCGAGTTGGGGTTGTTGTGAATGCGCGAGTGGCGAGTCAATTCATCGGATCGACTAAAGCGCTTGCTACAACCAGGAAACTGACAGGCGTGAGGCTTCTCTCCGGTGTGCGTACGGATATGTCGGGTTTGATGCTCCAGACGGTGGAAAGCCCTGTCGCAAAGAGGGCATTTGTAGGGTCGAGGGAGGTCCTGCCTTTCTTCTGTGCTGGGAGCCTGAGCACCCATGGCCGTCGTCGGCATCAGGCTGACAGCGGCTGCCATGTTGCCTTCAGGTTGCGTCGTGACGGAGGTGTTGTTGGGCAGAAGGGTCGTCGTCGTCGGCGGCGAAATGGACTCGTGCGAAGGGTGGGAAGATGAGGGAGAGTCCGAGGACGAAGGAGAAGGGTTGAGGATGGCAGTAAAATCTACTGCAGACGAAGAGCGTTGCATTCGAGCGAAGGGAGAGTTTGTTCCCCGGGAAGATGATCGCTTATCGTGGGGTGAATCATCCACTTAGTAGTTAGTTGACCGATGGCGGCGTGACGCATGCACAAGGACAAGAACCGCAAGGCCTGGGGTCGGAAAGGCGCAGATTGGAAGTGGGCGGCAGCGGATTGGCGATAACAAAAGCTGTAGCGTGGGACGTCTCTGGAAGAGAGGTGGTGTGGTAGGTGGTGAGGTCAGGGAAATGGTGTGGTCAGAGAATTGAATAGTTTTGGGGGGAGAGGGGGGGAAGAGGAGAAGAAACGAGGAGGCCCCGGGGTGGACGGCGTTTTGTTCAGGTAATATGCAGGAGAGTGAGAGGATTGGGATGAGAAATGAACCGGGTCCGGTGTGTTGGAGAAAATAGATGGTTCAGGTGGTCGAGATGATGACTTGGGCGTCGAGAAACGAGGATGAGGAAATTACCCGGCACTGCGGACGTGGGAAAAACTGGAGACCGGGGGGACAGGGGTTGGATGACGGGGGGTGGTGTTGTGTGCGTGTGTTTCGGTGGTCGTGATTTTTTTCTTTGCTCTGACGGAAGGATGTAGAAGGTGGAAGAGGCGAAGGTTTCTTGACGAGTTATTACCCTCTTGCCCTCCGTAGGAATGTGGGAGCACCGCTTGTGCCAGATGGTAGGGACTAGTGGGCGCGAATCGAGGGCGCCAGTAGCCTGTAGTATGAAACCGTGGGTGAGGTGAGGTGAAGCTGAGGGAAAAGTCGCGAGGCGTGCTTTGTAGGTAACTGTGGGACAAATAATTGGGGGGAGGCGCTTCCATTAAGGGCGAGAGGGCGAAGAGGGTAAGAGGATCGGAGGGGCCAAAGGACCAGGCACCAAGGCAAGGCACGGCACTTTGTTGGCCCTTGTGCTGTGATGTGATGGAAAATGATTCAAATGACGAATGGACTTGACTTGGGCCCAGCAGTGGTGGGCTCCTGCTCCCTTAGTGCCGATTTTCTTATCAGGCCACGGCAACGGCAGCCTTGGAGAGAAAAAGCTGGAAGAGAAGGCCACATCTCGTCCAGGAGAAGCGCGCTGGCACTGATACTGCAGCTGATAGGAGGGGACCGAGTGCCCGCCCAAGGTTACCTTGTTGGCGGATAGAACCATATCCCTTGCTCTCTCTCTGTTTATTCTGTACCTATAATCCTTAACATACCTAGTAGCTATGGCACGACCCCCTTCTGTTTTCCCTGACACCTGCCTCTCCCTCTTGGGCCTGGGAAAAGGGACGCGATCAAAGTGATGGCGAACGAGCCTTATGCGAAGATGATCCGGGGAAGGGCGGCGGGTGAGCTGAAACTTGAAACTTCTACCAGTATGTGTAACAAATAGGCGTCTGTTGGGAGGCCTGGAATGCCTGGGCGAGACTTGGGGCAGGATCAGGGCAGAATCATGGCCCGGGGGAGGCCCGGGCGAACGTTGGAAATGCGAGTTTCGGAATCTCGGACTCCTTCGCGTTCCCCCGAACTAACAAGTACAGCAACATCTGGCATTCTTCTGGGGAAGTCATATTCCGGTACCCAACCGATGCTCTCTCTCGTGCTTTCCCGGTGATGATTCCTGTTGGGCCGGTAAAGTTGGTGGTCTGGTCAAATCTCAATAATAATGCCACTTGGGCCGAGTACTCGCAGTCTATTGCCTCATGGAGCGACCTGCGAGCCGCGGGCCACGGCAAGAGCGAGGGAGAAATTCTGCTTCGTCGCAGTACGGCGAGACAGTCCGTATTGGGGAAATGATGGGGAAGCGCTCAAGTACCATCCTGCACGAGATTGGCGTAGAGTGACAAGGGAAGATCCGAGGCAGTCGGAAAACGGGCTTGTCTGACGAACAGAATTTAGAACACATCCACCCACGATAAAAAATCGGGAGTCGTTCAAAGTAGATTCCTGGCGACCATACCGACCCTCGGGAGTGGCAGTGGGTGTACCGAGTACTCAGACTTTTGGAACGAGGTGCTATGTACACTCGTCCGGAATATTGCATGCATGCCTATGATGCAAAACAGAAGAAGTCGCGGTGTGTGAATACCGAGCCCTGCTGGGCCCCTCGAACTTTCTGTGCTGATTTGAGCACATATTGGAAATCCCCATCCATTCAATCCTACCGTTCCTTTCTACGAGGAGCACGGTGGCATTGCCATCTCCCTAGGTGCTATGAATCGCCACAACGGAGACCTTTGCAAGCATCCAAGAACGAGTACAGTAATCACCAAGGCCAGAAAGAATACTTGGTACAACTCAACTCCTTACGGACACGACTGACCTAACCCCGTCCATCAATGGCGCAATCCGACCAACACTCAGGGGGTACCATCAGGGCTAGGCTGTGCACAAGTTACTGTGTACCTCGTTGGTACTCGTAGGGCTACTTCCGGGGCTCCCAATTCGGGGGAACCGATAGAACGCGTCAGAACGCCCCAGAAGGGTGGTTACCGGATAGCTGAGGCCTTACGATCAGAAATCTCTCTGGGGCAGCTGTGGCCTAACCAGAAAGGACAATGCCGCCCGCCAAAACCGCCCCTTGGTATCGCCCTTGAGGCGTCTCCTATGACATCCTGGACATCTCAGCTTCAGGCACAAGTAAAATTCTGGTTACCTGTTCTGTGACCACTAGGCTTCGCCGGCCTGGAAGAGTGGGTTTACGAAGGTCACCTTGTGGGCTCTTTCCAGTGGCTCGGACTTGGACTTTCGGGGACGTCTGGCGGTCCATCACCTGCAAGGGGGTCGATGATTTCACTTCTGGGGGAAGGGGCGGATTTGAAGGGGTGATGGCCCCTTGCGAAATTCAGTGGGGAAATTCAGTCCGGCTGTGGCTGAATCTCGGGCTCATCACCCCGTGTCGTCCAGATACGGAGTACCTACCGATGGTCCCTGGCACGATAGCACACGCAACCCACTGAACCAAGTCTGCAATGCCATGATAGCACGACTCTTTTCCTTCTCTGCCAGAAGCTGGCCAGACGTTTACCTTGAGGTCGGATAGCTGACTGCAGGTCCAAGCAGGATTTGATGCGAGAGACGAAAGGCGATGGAATTAAGTGGCAAAATTCGAACTACGAGGGCCACGAAAAATCATCAGCTACGGCGGTTTTCGATCATGCCTCCACATTTGTCGATAGGGCCGGAGCTGTTGGTGGAGGCGGCACCCACGGATTCAACTGTCCTTACCATCATGATGACCCGGCCATCAAACAACAGACTCAATCCTCAGGGATCGACTGATTCCCTGTAAGAGTCCGGAATCGGCACGATAACACCGGTCTTTGATCCTGACGGCAAAACTTAGCCAACAACATTGCATCCGAAGAACAAAATCTGGTGCAGAAACTTGGTGCATGGTACTGTGGATGTCATACTCCATCCCACGCGCTCCTGGCGCCACCCTCGTACCAGGTACATATCGCCTTGATTGATACCCCGTGCGCCTCTGATTCGACAAGATGTGCTCACCAATAAATCGAGAGGGATGCACCGCCAGAAGGACCCATAAGGAGTGTGGGTTGAACTGACACGGCATATTCCCACTTCTCCACAAATCTCTTTAAGCGTCCAAGGCGAAGCAAGAGGGTAAACAAAGTTGCCCAAACCAGAATAAATAATATTATTATTTTTCAGTCTTGTTACGACAATCGCAAAGGGCCTTATGGTCTATCGAAACAATCCGCGGCGAGTGGCACACGACGCAGCCACAAGATGTCCATCCTAGCTCTTCATGGATCCGAGCGACGCTTATCGAGATCGCTCGTACAAATGCGGATGGAATATTGAGCTTCGTTGGCGATCCTCAAATGGAATGCCATTCCTGTAAATGTATGAAGTCCTCCTCTCATGACGACAGTCTTCTGTACAGCACAGCGATTTCCAGGTATCCGATACTGCGTCCTATATCTTCGTCATCGTGGTTGTGGTTGGTACGCTCAACTGCTTATCCAGCAGATGGGCAGATGGGCAGATATCCATCCAGTGAAAAGAGCTCTATAGGTCTTGCAGAGAGTTGAAGCAACTTGTTAGTCTATCTGAAGGAGCTTGATGGGCATTCAATTTCAAGGTAATACTCCGTCCGGAGTACAAAGAGTGATCTGACTGTGCTGCGCGTGCCCCACCGATTGCGACGGTTCGGAGAAGAGCACGACTATTCTTGCATGCTCAACCAGGTCGATTTCAGCCTGATTCTGTCCACCGGCATTCAATGCAGAGAGCTCTGGCAGCCTGACCGTCTATGGGCATTGATCCGTGGTCGACGAGCCTGGGCGCCTGCACAAACCGTGATATTCTCATTGGACTAACGACGTTGCGTGCCAGGAATGGGCGAAACCGAGCTCTACGATCGGCATATCTGGCTCTCCATCCGTTCTTGGTGTTGTGATGGCTCACCGTACCGAAGATCTGGAAGAGCTCTCAATTTATCAACTTCCACGATGATTGCCTATACGTCTGAGTCAAGCTGGGTACAGAAGGGCCAAATTTCCGACCTTCTCGGATGATGGCAGCGAGTAGCTATGAGTCGGCCACCCTATACCCACACCCTCAACCCGCGTTTGGTGAGATTGATGCTTCCAGGTTGGTGACAATGGCATGAACAACATGGTTGTTGCGAGTACAAGGCGCACCGATCTTCCGACGCTCCATCGGGTGAAGCAATCACCAGCAAATTTCACATATCGATTTCGGAGTGTACCACAAATGCGGGCGTTGGCCGGGACTTACACAGTACATGGGACAAATTGTTTATACCATTTGATTGCTATAAGGTGAGCTCCTGACTCAACGGTTCTCTGTCAGAGCCTGTTTCGATTCTTCCCGCCTTGGTGCACCCACCGACTTGCTTGACCAGTGTATCACATGTCAGGCTGTGAACTTCGGCGTGGCTTTGTTCCAAATTAATCAACGACGTACTCGATAGAGGCAGCCCCAGTTGGGGTTCCCATGTCGCATTGTCAGCTCTGTGAGGGGGTGCCTGGCTC